GCGGCGGCGGCTTGTGGACTGGCGGCAGGATGGCCGGAGGCGGGCCGTCGGCACCTGAAGAAATTTCTTCTGACATGGAACTTTGCCGAGGCTTTCCAGCCTGAAGGTCTGGCTTTTTTGCCAACAGGGCCTGATTGTCCATGCGTGGCATCCCACAACTATATTGCACTGCCATGTGCCTTGCGGAGCTCCATCACCATCGTCTGCCGGCGGCTTTGGCGGGGGGCCTGAGCATAGAAAAAAAAAGCCTTCCGGCTTCCGATTAAGCCTTCCGGCTGTCAAGCACCAGGTCCGAAACCCTGTGAGCCCCCCGCCTTTCATAGGAGGCTTTGGGCCTCCCAGCCAGGCTTGGGCACCTGCCAGATGTTTGGGTTCCTACCCTAAACCCTAAACCCTCAAACCTCAACCCTAAACCCCAAACCCTAGACCCGGGCGCCCGTCTGCGGCGGCGGCCCCGGCGGCGGCCCAGGCGGCTTCAGCTTGGCAGCACCTGGTCCGATGAGCTGACAAAGACCTTCCGGTCTGAGCTCTGAGCCTCGCCTTCCGGTTTGGCGGTGGCCGGGGCACCTATGCGAGACAAACAAAGACACTTCCTGTCAAAGCTCTGTCGCCTTGCCTGCCGGTGTGGAAGTTGTGCTGCCTCGTTGCGAGACAAAGAAAAGGCCTTCCCGACAAAGCTCTGAAGCCTTGCCTTGCGCTGGTGGGCCATCCGTGCCAGATGCTTTGGCGCCAGTGGTGGTGCCTGTCGGTTTCTAGAATCCGTTTCATCTATAGATCTCGAGCGGGCCTGCCTCCCGGCTTCTGCTGAGCCTTGTTCTTCTCGTTCTCAGGGCCTGGGCTGACACAACATGTCATTCAGGACCTTCCGGTCTGCGACCTTCCGGTCTATATTAGCCGAGGTGCAGTAGTAGCACCACCACTTCTGACCGTTCCAGGTCTTTTTGGGCGCCCCATCTGGCACGTNNGTATTTTTTCCACCACCTTCCGGTGGACTCCTCCTTCCACCAATCTCGAGTGTCTGCTACTCGAGACTGGTAGTCGGCCCATTCCTGGGCAAGCTTCCGCCGCCAGTCCTTGTACTCGAGGCCCTCTGGGTCCTGGGACCAGAGGTACCTCAAGAGGCACCTGTCCGTCGCGTCTTCCGGACGGTGCGCCATGGTCCTAAGCTGAGCTTCCGCCTTCCGGCGTAGTAGTAGTAGTAGTAGTTGTTGTTGTTGTGAATGCCTCCCGGCTTCTACAGCTATAGTGCATGGTGCTAGCAGAACAACGTAGCACTACTTGTGCTAGGCGGAAGCTCAGCAGGTATGGCCTGCTACACGGCTACGGCTACTCTAGAGGCAGCTCTCGAAAAAAACTGTGCAAGGTGAGAGGAGGTTTAGAGTTTCGGGAGTTAACGTCCTATACGGTGGATGCCTGAGCCTTAAAACCATTTTACAGAAACCTTATCATGACAAGCTTGAGATGAACCTATAGGGTAGTTTCTCTGAGTCTTTCAGAGACCTGAGAAGGGTAGCTTCTAGGAGTCTCTCCGACCTTAGGGCT